GGAGAGCCCTGAGGATTCAAAAATGGAGCTGGCTCATTCAGCTAGTACTCTCAGCGTCTGATACACAAAGCGTATTTCTGCTGTTACAATAATGAAAGATGATAGTGACATGTCAAGAGGAGGGAAAACGTATTGTTACATTCTCTTTTCTGTTCTAAGGTTTATTGTTTATTAGATGGCCTACATTTACTTTTATAGTCCCTTGAAACTTGCCATATCCCATCACCAATAACTCCATTAACAACATAGAAGGCAGAAAAAATGTCTCATCGGGGTCTATTCACACAATTCCACACCAGTGTATAGGCTGGAATAGGTGGTTGAAGCCACAAACAGTGTATCAGTATCGTAGTTCTGGCTAAAAATTGGATCAGCTACAAACCAAGAAGTTGATAGTACATAGATGAGCTTGGAGCGGGGGACCATCACTTGCTCAACAACTTTTGCCAAAAATTAGAAGTTACAAGTCAACAGCTGCCCTTGAAATCCATGGCCAATGTACAATTCTTGAGTGAGTCTATCAAGATTTGTGGCTTTCTGGCAACATATTTCCCTGATTAAGTCATTAAGAATACTATGGCCCAGACTTTCACCAACTAAAATAGGTACAGTTTGGACTCACAGGTAGCTAATATCATATCCTCAACAATGCCCCTACTGAAAGAGCAAAGCTGATCCCAATAAAACCAACAGAGACTCAAATATCCCAACATTTTGATGTGTCCTAAATAGGGACTTCATGATAAAAACATATGTGAGCAATTTTCACTGCAAAGATGTTGCAAATGTATCCTCAGTGGACTATCTATGTTATCTTGTCATCTGAGAGATGGCATATGAGGGTTTACAAGGCCATTCACTGCCTTGAACAGTTCCATTAGATGATACTTTGCTAGACAAATAGCAATGAAGAAGAATTTCTCTGCAAGGAAATACTGCCATGATATGAAACCTATCCTATGGACACCTTATCAGCTGATAATTACAGTAATATTGGCATGGAAAATGATAGCTCCTGCCACATGACTTTGGGGTCCTTATATTACTGGAGTGGTATAAGAAAGCAAACTGGCCAAAACAGAAATCAAATTGACTATGTAACTGGAAGAAAGAGAAAGGAAAAGCTGTACGCTCACTGCCAAAACTAGATTAGGAACAGATTGTGGTAATGACTATAACTCTTAATATCAAAAACCATAGTCAAGCTAAAAAAAGTTCACCTACCGAAGCATAATGCCAAAATACAACTTAAATGACATTCCAGAGGAATTTTAAAGTCCACATAAAGAATAGATTTGCATTACTGAACTCAATTGACCATGAGCCAGAAAAACTGTGAACTGAAACCAGACATATTATTAAGGAAGAATGCCAAAAGACAATTCCTGTAGCAACAAGAAAGAAAAAGACAGGCAGAAAGCAGAGCAACAAACGACAGATATAAGCTTGGAATTCTGAATGCAACTTTTCAGCCACTATAACATAGAGACAAAAAGAACTATTACAATAACCAATGCCAAGAAATAGAAGAACAAGGGAGAAAACAAGAGAACTCTTCCAGAAGATCCAAGAAATCAAAGGGAAATTGAAACCTAGATTAAGAATGCTAAAAGACAAACAGGAGGACATGCTATCTCACCAGGAAAAAAAATAAAAGGAAGGTAGAAACAATATATGAAAGAACTATACAGAAGAGAAAAAAAAAGATGACATATTCCTTCAAAGAGAAATCCTATGAAGGGCCTGCAATATTAGAAAGTGAAGTGAAAGCTGCTTTGAAAGTGCTTCAAATGAATAAAACTTTCAGAGTAGATGGGATAACAATAGAACTACTCCAAGCTGTAGAGAAGAAATAAATCCAAATCCTAAAAAGAATATACTAAGGAATAAAGAAAACAAAACAATGATACACAGACTGGAAATGTTCAATAGACATTCCAGGCCCGAAGAAAGGAGATGCTGACAAACGCAGCAATTACAAATTCATTAGTGCAATGAACTTGTAATTGCAAAGTGTTGCATGGTGTTGTAACAAAGAATTTTATTCTAAGAAATGCCTAACATTCAAACCAGATTTCAAACCGGAAGAGGCACTCAAAGTCGTATCACAAATATACCATGGAGCACCAAAGAATTTCAGAAGATCAGTGCATGCTTCACAGACCAAAGCACATCCTTTGACTGTGTAGATATTCATTTATTTATTTATTTATTTATTCATTTATAGACTGCCTATAATTGCCAAGGCCTTCCTAGGTGCCTTACAATACATAGAACATATTAACAAAATAAAACACATTAAAACCTATTAAAACACAATGAAACATCTATGAAAATGAGATTATAAGGGCCACAGCATTCCGGCTAAGTGTTAAAAAAAATTCCTAAAAAGGCATGTCTTTGCCTGGCACTGAAAGGAACATAAAGATGGTGTCAGGCGAATTTCCCTAGGGAGGGAGTTCCAAAGATGAGGAGCAGCAGGGGAAAAGGCCCTTCACCTAGTTGCCACCCCTCTCATGTCCCTGAGGGGTACTTCTCATAGAAGGGCCTCCTGAGCTGAACTGAGGGGGTGGGTAGGAATATATTGGTACAGACAGTCCTTTAGCTATCAAGAAGCAATGGAATGTCCTGAAAGAAATGGATATGCCTCAGCACTTGATTGTCCTGTTTTCTGGACACAAAGCTACTTTTAGGGAAGAATAAGGAGAAACAAAATGGTTTCCTCAGTGCTAGCATGTTAGATAACAGTGCATTTTATCTTCCTATCTGTTCTATTTGTACACAGAATTTATCATCAGAAAAACTGGATTAGGATCAGAGGAATGGGTGAAAATTGGCAGCAGACACATCAGTAATTTAAGATATGCAGATGTTACCATAATACTGGTAAAAGCAGCAAGAATTGAAATGAATCCTGATGACAGTGAAAGAGGAGAGCACAAAAGCAGGACTGCAGATGAGCAATAAGAAAACCAAAATCATGACGACAGAAAAACTTGACAACTTTACCATCAACAATGAAAACACTGACACTGTGAAAGGTTTTACTTATCTTGGCTCAGTCATTAATTCAAATAGAGACTGCAGTCAAGAAATTAGAAGAAAACTAATAGGAGTCTTCACCAGAAACTAAGGCCAAGATCATCCACACAATTCCAGATAACTATGTATGGGTATGAATGCTGCACAGTGAAAAAACTACTAGAAGAAACTTGATGCATTCAAAACAAAGTGCTAAACGAGAGCTTTGTGAATACCTTGGACTGATATCAAAATGAACAAATGGGTCCTTAATCAAAAAAAAAAAAAGCCAGAACTTTTGCTAGAAGTGAACATAAGAAAACTGAAACTTTGTACTTGGGCTTATCATGAGAAGACAACTTGACAGCAGTTAACAACTAGAGAGAACATTTGCATACCCTGCTTTTGCCATTCTTGGAGGTTTGCTTTAATCTTTAAAACTCCGAACTGTTTGCTCTTCAGCAACTCCTTCTGCTGAAAGGCACTCAGGACTGAACAGTTTGAGAATTTGGAACAAAACACTGAGGAAATGTATGAGTATCTGATTAAATTTGTAAAAGATAATAGTATTTGTACAGACTGATGGTTTAAATAGTATATAACCACATTAAGCACTGGAACCATTTCTCTACTATTTTAATCCCTTGAGAGAGTTGTTTTTAATTTTTATTTTGTTATGTATTTTCAATGTTGATTAATAATAGACTAGTTACTGAGTTAATGATTAGGAAATTGACTCTGTCCTAATTCTGTTTCAAGCTTTTTATTTAGTAGTAATTAAAAAGATTCTTACTAGATAGACAAGGATACAGCACTGGGGATATTATCCTCCCAACAAAGCAAGTAATACATATTAATGCACAGAATTCCTTCTCAGGCTCTGTTCTTGACTTGTCTTTGGATCATAAATGACTTTGTCTCGAGTTGAAACAGAGAGAACTATCAATACCATCAGAAATTGCCTCCACTGAAAGTGTTAATTGGCTGGTGCAATGGGGAAAAAATAAAAGAATATTAGATGCATTTATGAATAAAAAGATTGATAAATGTATGCAGCACCCAAAAAATGCTAGCCCTTCTAGGAGGAAGATAAATTAATAGATAATGCTAATACTATAATTAAAGAACTGGATTTTGTTAAAGCTTTTCTTTTGGAATGTAATGGACTACTAACTGTAATTGCAAAATTCAGGGAGGGGGAATGATAAAACCCACATCTGACAATAAAGCAACTGCTCAAAATTGACCTCCATCTCATTTTACAAGAATACACAAAGGATCTAAGAAAGCTCAAAAACCTTTAAAAAAAAGTTAATGACTCAAACAAAAGTAAAAGCATCAAGAGTATAAAAAAATTGGAACTTATTACAAAAACACAAAGGAATTTTAAGAAAATTCTGAAGTTATTAGATGAGAAAACAAAGAAAGTAAAGGAAGTACCAAAACTGGATGAAGAGTTGTTGTACCCTGAAAAGCAGAATGTCAGGATCTGAAATCTGGCATTGGTAAACCTCTCTTTGCCAAAGTTGTTGTGAAACCAATGGTGAGAGCATTTATCAATATAATTTATTGATGGGTTATATAAGTTATTCTATTTAGCCTTTAAATCTGTCAAATAATTATAGTATGGCTGTTTTTGCATTTGGACTCTGCCTTATCAATTATGTGCATTTCAAACAGTCCTACATAATAAATAAGATGATAACTCTATGAGGTTATGAAAGCAGATGATCATCCTAAGCACATACTCCTATCTTGACAAGGAAAGAAAACACATCAAGAATCAGATAATTTCAGTTTATCCAATAACAAGATTCTTTATTTTAAAACCAACTTACAGCATCAAATTTAACATGCTTCCCTATATTTGTAAACAGCCATTGCAGGATGATATATCTAAATACACATTATAGTATGTATAAGTACATCTTTGTGTCTATAATAATGCACGCTGATGACTAGTTAACGAGAGTACTCACCTTCCAGGGTCGCCTGATCCCTTTGAAAAAATCCGGCATCCACATTGGAAGAACAACTGCTTCCCTTAACAATTTTTTAGCTTCTTCCAAATCAGCTATGTCATCCCTATCAAAGATCAACTCAGATTTAGAAGGTTCATATACACAAAATATCTTGCATTTTTAAAATATGAAAGTAACATCTTTCATTTTACTTATAAAATACAGTGACGGTATCCCCCTATGTAGCATACTAGTATAAACCATTGTTCTGAAAAATGACCTCCCATGTGAAAGGTATGGTGCAAAAATGACTGTCTCCTGAAGATGATTATTCAGACAATTCTTTTAAATGCTCTTGAGCACAGCAGCACACGCAAACAGCAGAACTGTTTGCACATACTATTTAAAAGTCAGAATCTTGCTTTGTGATCTCAAAACACCAAAAACTCTGATAATGACAGAATAGGAACGAGGCAACTCTAGCTCCCTGAAATACATGCGCATCATCTTCGTCATGGAAACCAGCAAAATGGAGAAGATAGCGGTTCTGAAGATTGGATAGAATTAGACTGGTGGTATTGTTTACAGGGACAAGAGGGGCGAACTGTAAAGCTGGAGCACATCCAGACCACCTTAAAGGCTAGTGGCATCACTGATCACATTTCTGGAGATAAGATCCTAAAAGAACCTGTATGGCCAATCCATTCTTCTTAGCATGATCCCATTATAATGCATGCCACAGAGCAGGGTAAAATGGCATTATAGAATATATTGATTTATGTTAGGAAAGAGCTTTTTGTGCCTTGGCCATCTGCTACTGGCCCTAGATAAGCCATAATGGCATTGGGGTCTGCAGAACGTATCTTTACAGGCCTCAGATTTACTCTGGCAGGAAGAACAATTTGAGAACTAAAGATACTTCAGAAACATTTATCTGAGATATTCCCAACTCCTTCCTTATCCCAAACTTCCTATGGGATACCTAAGCAACTTCCAGAATTTGATGGCAATTCTTACACTGTGATGGTTACCAGATGCAAATTGCTGAAAAGGCTTAGATGCTGTAGTAGCTCCACATGGTGGCTGTAACATGCCATTGCATGGGCAGTTCCACATCAGTGCTGCTTATTCTCCATTTAATGGAAGCATGTCACTGTGGGGTGGTTCTCATGGGCGCCCCACAGAACCGCTACCATGCTGACCTATCGCCAAAGAGACACCTTCATGAAACAGCTTTAACCCAGAACTCAATTTTCAATCTCTTGTGGAAGTGGTTGATTTTACAAGACAACATTTAATAATTCATTAAATATTTCATAGAGCTTCACAGCATCACAATCTTATCTACCAACAAAGAAAAGTTATCCTGTTGGATCATTAGGATGCAAATATAAAATTCATCTGTACGTGCATTTCTTGTTGCCTTTTTAAGAGAGTAACCACACAAACTTCTCTAATTCTTCTTGCTGATAAAGACCATTCTAATCTGAGCTTAGCTCGGGCCAGAGTTCACTAAGGTTCAGCCTTGGAACTTACCCTGAACATCAAGGATCATATCTATTAAGTGTCAATCCTTGTACTTTTCTGGTAGGAATGTGACTTTCAGCATATCCTGAGTGCTGAAAGTAATCCTAGATGTGAAAGAAATGGTGGGGATATTGCGTAATGAAGAAAATGCATTCTCAGTAGGAGCTCCAGAAAGGTAGCAGTGTTCATTGTTTTGTGTACTAGGGCTCTACTCCACAAAAGCTCAAAAGAAAAGGCTTTAAGCTACCAGAGGCCCCTCTGTTGGTTTTCCTTAATACAACTCTCCTTACTACTAAACAACCACAACTAATCTCAACATGTCAAAGTTTATGAGAGGTGTCTCCCAAACAGCAATAAACTCCTAATATCTCTCATTTTACAAAATAAGCACTGTACCAATGAATACTTAGATTCCTTGACACGATGTCTCTTTCCAGAGCCTCAACCAAATCTTTGTCATAACCTGCTCCATCAAATTTCTGAATTTCACCATCACCAGCACCATCTTGGTGGATCTTCTTTCCCTAGATCAAAGTGTTGGAATAAATATTTTTTGAAAAAAATGGCACAGAAATTAGATGAAAGTTAAAACAGTTCTGGAACTACAATTCTTTTCATTCTATTGAAAATTTTACTGAGCTTTGCTGTCTTTGTTAACATTGGACAGCTTAAGACATGAGAACAATGGGCTCATAAAGGCAGAGGAGATATATGGAAAATAAGTATATTTAAAGGCCACTAGTATGAACAAATTAAAGAGAAAAAAACTGATTCCATTCAATATATTTATTTAAACCCTGAGAACTGTAGTTCTGGGATGGGGGAACTGTGATCAAATTGCAATTAGCAGGATTTCCCTTCCTCAGCACATTTTATTTTACAGAAAAATATGAACACTTGAGCAGGAGAACATATAATGCAAACAAAAATTAAATAAACATGTTTGAAAACAGAGCATTTTCAAGAAATTCTACAACTGGCAACATTGCTGCAGATTGGAAAGGTTTATGTAGAAGTTGTTTTCCAACAAGGGAAGGATGAGATAAGAGCGAAGATCCACCTGAGACTTCTTTTGTTTGTTTTAAAAAGGGCTAAATACAATAAAACAGGCAAGTGACTATTCCTTTAATGAACAATCTATCTGTATTTTTAAAGCATTTCAACATGACATAACCACTTCAGGAGATGGGGCAATGCTTCATATTGAGGCTCAGGGGAGGAAAGGTTTTTGATTTTGGCAAATACTTTGAAAATACCTTAAAATTGGTTTGCTCATGCCAGGTATGCCAGAACATGATACAAGAGGAAAGCTTCCAGAACACTGAAAGTCTGACATCTGCACAGGCCCTACCCATATCAACAAGGATTCCAGCAGTGTGATGAAACACACAACAGATGCAGAAACTGGGAAACAATTGCCTCCTACTTCCCACTGGCAATCAGTCATTATCAGCCCCTAATGAATGCTCTAAGAGCAATTACTCTGAAATTATGAAGTTTAGGAGGTACAAACATGTTCAGTGCAACTGCCTAAGGATCCCCATGTAATCTGTCCTCAGTTTCCCAAACGCACAGGGAGTTACGAGTTTAAATAATACTTACAATTCAGTGGGCATTTAAGCAAAAGCTGCTTACTTGAAGCACTCCAGTATCCACTCATAATACTCAGTTGAGCCATGCAGCCTTTGATCCAAACTAAAGGGAATGGACAGTCTGCTTGCCCTGCTAGCCTGAGGGACCTCGCCCTGCAGACCATCAAGGCACAACCCCAGGTCAGTCAGTGGCAGAGACTGACCTGGCGGAGTGCCAGCAGAGCAAGGGAGGAGCAGCAGAGCAGTGGCAAGCCAGCAGTGTCCATCTGTGGGCGGCTACTCCAAGGCAGCCCCTCCCATCATGCTGGCCTATTTCCCTGGAGATCTTCCACCCTGGGCAGCTGCCAGTCTTCCTGTCCAGCTAGCCAGAGGACTCTCGGCACGTGGACCATCGAGACACAGCATCAGATCAGTTGGTGGCAGAGACTTGGGGTGTTGGCCAATTGGGTGGGTGGTTTGTAGTTGTAGGCTGCATGATGATAATGAATTGTCTAGCTTTAATTTTTGTATTGCTGTTTTAGAAATTTTATAAATTATGTAAATTGTTGTTTATTACCTCATGTAGCATTTTGAACGCTTGTACTTTGTTTTATGTTGTATTTTATTAGTGTATACTGCACTTAGGTATTCTCCAAACTACCCTGAAAGCCTTTTATGGCTAACTGACAGTATAGAAATTTAATTTAATAATAATACTAATAATAATTTTATAGAGGTTATCACTATGATAATGATCTCTTCATTTTGTTTATAAACCAACACTGGTCACAGTGTGCCTCCTATTACTTTTAGGGAACTAGCTATATTAAAGTGCATGACACAGAGGCAGTAATATTAGATGCTGTAACAAATGCTTCAGGGAAGACTTTTACAGATAGTTTTCCATGACACTGGAAAACAGTTGCAGGTGTTCCTTTTGGCCAAGCTAGACAAAATTAAGAAGAAGCGGTTTGCTCTCTAATGTACTTCTATGAACCTGAGTAGTTCAACAGAAGCAGCAAATGAAAAAGAGAATAGACATAGCTTGGAGACCAGGAAGTCTACAAAACTAAGAGCCAAAGGACAGGTAAACAGGAGGATATTTAAGTTAGAAAGTATGGTGCCATTTATTCCTAAGCTTCTTTAGAAGCACCATGTGTCCTTTTTGTGCCCTTCCAACCCCCCTTCTTAAAATATGACTGATGAAGCTAATAATCTCCATTCAATCTTTCTTTTGCATTAGTTGCCCACCCCTGCCACTGAAAACTCATTTAAACCAGGAAGTTGCTGTCAAAGGGATTTTGAACCTCAGAGGACAAGAAAAAAGGAGAGGCACTTCAGGCTGTATGAGGGCTGCAGGAACCCTTCAATTCTGGACTCCTGCTTCTTGCAAAGCTCACCTCTCCACTGTGCCCAGCAGCATTCCAAAGGGATGGAGGTAATGACTGGACTCAGCTGCAAGGTTTGTTAACCACTCTGGCTAGGTTCAGACAACACAAGCCACCCATCACTTATAAGCAAACCCAAAGGAGGTCTGGGGTGGCTTGTGGCCCACACACAACATAGTCGCTGTACCCACAATTGCTTGTCATGGTGTCTGAACTCTGACAACCAAGCCTAAATTAGCTGAGATGAGTTGACTAGCAAATCCCTTCTTGCCACTCTTGCCATGAGGCTACTGGTCAAGGGTCAGTGCCAGGCACCCCAAACAACAAGATCTCATCTCCTCACAACCAACATTAGTTCCCATTGTGGAGCACATTTTGTGCTTTGTCCCAAACCTTTAGGTGCTCTAGAGTTTACAAAAGTATACTCCATCTCCTTTTTCAAGAGAAATATGAGCTCTGAAAACTAACGGTCAAAAAACTGGGTCCCTTCTAAAAGCAGGTTTTGAACAACCCAGGGTTTTAAATGCTAGTTGTCAGAACTCATTTTCCCCTTAGAAAAAGTACCTAGAGACTGGTAAGAAAATGAATAATATACAGCCTAATGGGAACTAAAGGAGTGCAGGGAAAATGAGGACTTTGTTCTGAAGTGGTTTAAATACCCCCCCACCCCAATCCTCTTTTTTATAACTAAGATCACTTTGTTCTTGAAATCTCACCTTCTGACAGCTGTCAGCACAAGGTCCACACTTTCCTGAGGTTAATGGGAGGACACAGCATGTCCAAAAATGTTTGTAGGTACCTAGGATACCAGGGAATGACAAGCTCTACCACTGAGGAAAAATACTGTTTGTAGAGCATGCAGCAATGTAAAAATTGGACGCTACATTCTCTCCAGCAAACTACAAAGAAGTAAATGAGAGAAACAGCAGGGTGATTCTGCTAGCCTCCCTCATGAAAGGTCCTCCTCCCTGTCACCAGCAGCAGCCATTCAAGCAAGGCTGAACAGAGAGAGATGCAAGGCGAAGTGAGCCCATTCCACCAGCCCGCTTGAAATACTTACTTTTTCCTCTTCCACTCCCATTCCCTTTTCCTTGTATGTCATGCCATTTTGGAGTATAAGCCTCCAGTAGGGACTGTCTTATTTCACTGACTGTATGTAAGGAGCCTTTGGGGGATACGAATATTTTAAATGAATGAATGATACGTATTTTACATATGAGGAGCTTGGTCACCAGACTAACTAATCTTTCCCTTGGTAATTCTCTGGGTCCACATGTGGATTACAAGAGTTACTAACCGGGGTGGTGGGAAAAACAACCCACAGGGTAGGAAAGTGCCATCTGTTGTAGAAAAAACTTGGGAGGTTGCAATGGCCCTTGCCCTCTTATAGAACTATTGTAACATTATTTTCTTTTTTTAAACTATCAAATATTTTAAAACATTTTAGTAACAATAATAAACTTCACAAAGAGCTTGGATTTGAACTTAGATTGCCTTAGCACAACTGCAACACAACCCACTGTTACACACCACCAGAAATAGACATGTACAATCCTTTTCTTCCTCTTTTTAAACTATTTATCAAATCTTTAAACAAATAAGCAGGTTGCTTACCTGTAACTGATGTTCTTCGAGTGGCCATCTGTGCAGTCACACATATGGGTGCTGCGCCTGCGCAGTGCCTTTGGCCGGAAGATTGCAAGCTAATGGTTTTTGGCGGGAAAGCTCCGCTCCCCCTCCCCCATAGCCTATAAAGAGCGGAGCGTCCGCCATTTTGTTCAGTCTTTGACAACCAAACATACGCCCCCATGTGGAAAAAACTGTCACTACTAGATGAGAAAAAAATCGGTACTGTGAAAAAAGGGAAAGCATCGGTACCGACGAATATGTCCACTCACCGACACCAACACCGAGAGGGCCCGGCGGGTGGGTTGTGTGACTGCACAGAGGGCCACTCGAAGAACATCAGTTACAGGTAAGCAACCTGCTTTTCTTCGTCGTGGCCTCTGTGCATCACACATATGGGTAGATTAACAAGCTTGCCATAATGGAAGAGGGGAGGTGTCCTCAACGAAGAACAGATGAAAGAACGGCTCTGCCAAAGGAGCAATCTTGCCGAGCCTGAACGTCTAGAAGATAATGTCTGGCAAAAGTGCAAGGGTTCGCCCAAGTAGCAGCTTGACATACATCATCAATCGGGACTCCCGATGCGAAGGCAGATGAGGCAGCAACAGCCCTAGTCGAATGGCTTCGAGGAGCTGTGGGTAATTCAATCTTAGCCAGTTGATAGGATAAAGTGATAGTATGGACTATCCACTTGGAAAGTCTCTGCGGAGTGACTGGAGCGCCTTGATCTCTGGTAGAATATTTAACAAATAGTCTATTTGAGCGCCAAACAGTTTCAGTCCTAGATCTGTAGAAGGCTAAGCAGCGCCGAACGTCAAGTGAGTGCAATGACCTTTCTAACGGAGTCCATGGAGATGGAAAAAAGGCAGGAAAGATAATATCCTGTCCCATATGAAAAGATGTGGCCACCTTAGGAAGAAAAGATGGATCGAGCCACAA